AATCCTCGGAAATGCGATTTACAGCATTTTGAGAGCATCGAGAAGACATATGATGCATTAATTTTATGTAAATTTTGCGAAACTTAACAATGAAAAAAGGTATTTTGATCGTGACAATCCAAAGCCAATAGTTAGTAGCGTGAGATTGCTTAATCGTTGTTTTGTCATATTTGATCTTAGCCAGTCAGACGTCGTACTGCTAMATAWGATCGTTCGCACGAAGCGCTGGTTGGTGGATTGACTGCCAACAGCTTACATAGGGTCACCGCCTCACTAACTAAGCTTTTTTTGCTTTGGATAGTTTCCTAACTGCGGAAAGTATGCAATCGAAATATTCCATAGAACCCTCGTCCTTCAGTATCTGAAGCAGTCTTTAAAGTTTCCAACTTGATGCCGTCATCACATGCCTTCGTATAGTCGACCTCTGACCATCTAATTTTTTTTATTCTTACTGATTTCATTTATTATTAATTTTTCGGAAGCAAAACTTGGGGGGCTGCAACCCCCCAGCCCCTCCATCTCCGCGGTCTCTGCCAGAGTGTGTAGTAGCACATGCAAAGCGAATGAATCGTCATCAGGGTCGTGTCATTTTTGGTGCCTGCATTCAGCGATATTACTAAACACCCACAGAGAGTCGGTGTCAAGTGACCGTCCGATGCCAGTGAGATCTCTGTCCGCCATTTTGGAAAAAAACAGCAGAGAAGCCCTGGGAACAAGGTCCACCTTCATGCAAAACATGTGCAAACAGAGGAATATCAGCTAACAGTTATCTTGTTAATATCAGTTATCAGCTAAATAAACCCGAAATTCTCAGTTAACAATTATTATTTTAGCTGTAGCTGTTTCTCAGTTAACAGTTAACCCCATTCAGACCCTGTGATCTTTTGTTTCTATTCAATTACTTAGTCTGTTCTTCAGTTATCTGAGTTATCGCTCTGGTATACGAAGAAACTACCCTCATCGAGTTGAAATGTACGATTTGTATAACTCGGAAGGTAATCAAGCAATTGATAAAATTACAATGTTGGACATGTGAGCAACAGAACAATTTAATCTATACGCACAACATACTTCCCAGTCCAAGGCATAACTAAACAAAATGATTATAGAATTATGAAGCAGGCAACTCTCTATTGTTCTGCGTCAATTGCAACTTCCCCACATACGAATGTCTTGGTTTTCACACTAATTATATATCAACCCATGGGTAACACATTTTCAAAATAAAATGTGGATAAACTCTGTTTTGAAACAAAGTTTCTTTTGTATTAAAAGATCTTGTCCAATCATAAGCACTCAAAACAATAGTCAAAAAATGCTTCTAATTTGCTATGTTCCCCACATAGAATTGATATTAATATTAAAGCTAAGGAAAGCTTTTATGAAGTCGAAATCAGATATTAAAAGAAGAGAAATTATGTCAGATTTTAATGTTTAAACCAATGAGATGGATGGATTATACAATACACAATTAGCACCTTCTTGCATTCCATTSCCGTTTTCTTGCTGCTTCTTACTCGGACATYACTTAAACCTTTAAGAATTGAATGCTCATAAGAAACATTTTCCACCTTAAATACACACGTGTTTTTCAGATGGCAATTTAGTCGAATTTTTTTCACRATGGAATTTTGTTTTGAGTCGTTTCGACATAAACAGTCGCTATCAAGACATTACACGAAAAACCCCAGTCACCTTCTAGCTCTCGTTGTAAGGTCAAAGCTAGTAAATGTGTAACTGACCTGTTACATAACGTCAACCCGTTATATCGTCGAGCACGCTTGCGCGTTATTGCCAAAAATGCGACAAAGGATGGACTACGACAGTTGTTTGTACCAAAAACAACAAACGCTTTAACTYTATTGGAATACGTGGAGCTAARCTGCTCTAGCTCTTCCAGTGATGTTGTTGATAACTCAAAGCTTAGACGAAACAAGAGCTAAGCAAAAGGATTTGCAATGGYTCCTCCTAAGATACTTTGGACTTGAACGTCGCTTCAACCTTCTGAAGTCTTCGTGAAGTCGTCCATTGCTTCGCATGCAATGGAGAACCCGCATAGAACACAGACCAATTATTTTTATCAGGGAGGGGAGTCTCGTGGTATTAAAGAAAAAATGATATGTCATTTCATTTTTAAGATAAAATTCTATTTCGTCTATAACAATAAATATTTGATTGACATTTAAAAGCTATTTTATAAAGATTTTCAATTTCTCTTTGMGTTTTAGATATATAGCTTTGATTTTTTCRGGTAGAATAAAATGACAGGCAGCCTACTCCACTGGGTCGAGTTTCGCWGTGCAAATTCCTCCCGTCCGGGGGTTGTGTTTACAACATAAGCTTGTCAGCTTTGCGCTGATTGGCTAGTCTCATTTTCTTAAATCACCCAGCTGTAATATGCCAATAACTTTCGAACCCGAAGTCAGCTCTGAAACTTTCGGACTTTTCCGAAAATTTACCTAKGCAGATCTTGATGTACATTTMATGTTGATATCGTCCTAAAATTGTAAAGTTTATTAAAAAATACCGATGCAGCCGAAAAGAAGTGAGATTTGGAACACTTTTTTGTAATTCCTTACCAAGAGAATCTATGTTGTCCATCCAAAAGCTTGCAAATTGGGTTCATTTGTAACTTTAAGTTTTTTTAA